TAAAAAGAAAATTAAACCTCAGGATAAAATCATTTAGAACTTGTGTTAACTAATTTGCTAAATAATGCAAACCTGAATCATCAGCTTGGGGGGAAAATGCGATTAAGATCTTTCTAGATTAAAGAATTTTCACTTTATCATTTCAAATGATATATTATAAAGAGTTTCCCAATAATAGGAGTTAAGTGTTCTACCAAATTAATATTATGTGGTTCAATTTTTAAAATTTTTTTGTCTCCAATTAATAGTCTGTGGTCCAAAACAAATAGGTTTTTTATTTCTTTGTAGTAGATTTAACTGCATGTTTAGTAAACGGTCTGTTTAATTTTTCAAAAAAGTATTGCTCCTTAGAATTCTCAGATATATCACTATAACAAATATGTGAAAACTAGCAATTCAACAATATATTATAGATTGGGTATATTTTACTTGATTAACTTAAAAGATTTTTGTATTATATACTGAGAGAGTATTCTGGTATACTGCTAGCTTTTCCTATTAATTTATGTTTACTTATTTAATGGTAATCTTTGTAATCTTAGGTTTGACTACTATATTGTTGAAAATCAAAAGAAAAGATTAACAATTCTGAAGTTAATGAAAGGGATTCTTACCAACACCATTGGTTTGGAGACTAGCTAGTGGGTCTGAATTTCTAGACGAGTTTTGTGGTGCTGTAATATATTTGGTACAAAAGAAAAAAATTTAAAGTGATTTTCAAACAAGGTCCCAGTGGGGTAGAAGTTAGCCATGAAAGAAGCCAAATTTAATGAAAGTTGCTTAAGATTAAAGTTAAAAAGGAAATCTTGAGTCAAGAACTAACTTCCTCCTAATGTTCTCATTGTGACAGTTTACTGATTCGCTTGTTACTCAGTTCAGATAAGTCACTTATACTTTTTGTGACTTGGATTCCTAGATTATGAAATGACGCTGACTCAGTGTTCCTATTCAGTGGTCTCACTAGAAATTAAAAGGAAAAAAACCTTTTTATTACAAATATGTAGATTGTCATCCTTAAGCTATCCCTAAAAGATACATATTTTTTTTCTACATAAAAGTAGATGATTTAATAGTGGGTTCAATAAATTTGAAGCATTTTGATCACTGTGCCATGGAAGACTAGTTTTCTCTCTGTATGGTAGTATAGTTCTCTACAAAATAAGACGGAAGCAGGATTCATTTGTGGTTCTTCCCCTCTCCCAAGACCTCACCGTCTCACACCTCCCTCTTCCCAATAAGCCAAGCGAGCAGAGACCAGGAGGTTGGCACCTGACTGCTCAGAGGTTGCCCATTGCTGTGCTAGGGCAGTGAGAGAATCAGTCTGAAGAAATGAAACATCACTTTATTCATACGGGAAATAACCGTGCCTTGGAAATGTTCAGGACTTGGTAATTAACAGGGCTTGTGTAGCTTTGTGTGCGGGCCAATGTGCTAGCAACACAGCAACAAACGGAGGTGTGAGAATTTCTTTCATATCCAAAGTGGTTAAAATGGGGCAGTAACAGAAAGCAAGGCTTTTCTTCCCAAGAAAGGAACAGCAGTAGAGCTTAGAGCCTTTTTATATGTGTTTAAGATACAGTCACATGTTTCATGTTTAAGAATGGCTTCTCATGTTAAATGAGTTAGTTCCCCATATACCTTCTCCTTGAGGCATGGGCCAGATGGATTATGTCCCATTTTACAATGACTGATGGAGAATTACTACACTCTTTTATTGCTAAAAATGTCTCGGTGACTCAGTACTTTAGGGCTTATGCATAGATAATGTGATAAAATACAGGCATGTGGTAGATGAAAGGGTTTGGTTCTCTTTGAGTTCTGATTTTCAGATTTTCCAATTGGTAACTTTCCCATTATTTGAAATCATGAACCTAATCCGCTTTTTAAAAGTATCTGTCTCTACAGTCTTTTAAAAAGCAAAAAAGAAAAAGGAAAAAAGATTTGTGAACTTCTCCTTTTCATTTAATTGATTCAATTTTAATTTTTCACATCTATTTGTAATGCAGTTTTCTGGTCATGGATAAAAAGAAGTATACAGTTTGTATTCATTTTTTAGGAGTGAATAAGTGACTTAGGGAGGAAAAGATAGTAACAGGATATTGATAAATAGCAAATAAATTATATAGGTGGGGGTGTTATAGTTGTTAAAGATTTGTTAAGAGGGACAAGAGAACACTTCTAGCTGGAATCATCAGAGTAGACTTCGGAGAAGAAAATGGAACTCCTGTAAGCCTTGCAGAATGAGAGAACTATACGTAGCAGTGGAGAAAGGGACATTTCATTGGCTGAGTGTCACCGAGGCAGGGTCTGGTATGGCATGTTCAAGGGGTAGTGAGTAAACTATAGCATAGTGTTTAAGAGCACAGACTGGAGCCACAGCCCAAGTTCAGGACTGCCTTTTACTTGCCATGTGACGTTCGGTGGGTTTTTTAACCTCTCTTTGCCTCAGATTCCTCATGAAGTAAAAAAGTGGTACTAATCTTACCAAAATCGTACAGCTGTTATAAGGATTTAAGAACAGTGCCTTCAAATATTGCACAAGTTAAATATTAAGTGAGTATAATTTAGCATGATGATGATGGCAGTGATGTATAGGGAAGCATAAAGGACAAGGTCGTAAGTAAGACTGGAGTGGATTCATTGAGGGACTGGACGGTCAGGACTGCATATAGTTTGTAGTGAGTAGTTACAGAAGCTTTATAAGCAGGAACATATGATCAGAGTAATGTTTTTGGAAAAATAATCTAGCAGAATAGGTTGAAGAAGAGAGTGACAGAAAAGAGAGTGATTAGGGCCATAGAGGGTGGATTTAGACTAGAAAGGAGGGACAGACCTGAGAAACATTTACGATGAACCAGTTTTAGGGTCTGGGGTCTAGCCCTCAGGGACATAGGAGGCAGAGGGCGGTGCTGCACAAGTAGGAGAATTCAAACCTACAGGAGTTCTTAGGAAGAGCTGGTAATGTGTGCAAGAAGAGGAAATCCATTTTACATGTTGGGAATTTAAAGACAATAACTGGAATTAGCATCGAAAATGCATATCTGGTGCTCTAAGAGAAATCAGGCCTGCAGGTAGAAATAGAAGCCCCACAGAGTAAGAGTTAGGCTGTGCGAGTAAATGGAGTACCAAGGAAGAGAGTATACCAAGTGAATATTACCGTAATTCTCTTTTCCATTTCTGTAAGAGAAAGTGTGAGTTTAAGAGAATGGAAACAGGTTCCTAGCCCAGTGGACTCACTTGAAACACGGGCAGTGGTAGAGCTGCCTGGCCTGTGAGTGTGTTTCACAGAGCAAGCGCCGGGCGGAGCGCTGGAGATGCGCCAAGGGTCGTAAACACTGGGTTTCTGGATCTGTAATTGCGTGTTACCGCAAACAGGCTTTATTCTAGTGCGGGGGAATTATCATTTCAATTATCCCAATTAACCTCACCCAGTTCTAACCATACGTTAATATGGATTCTGTCAATGTGTATGTGTGTGTATATGTACGTACATCGATCTAGATGGAAATACACTCTGTTGATTCGTATTTTATATACTTTTCTTAAAAGTTCTTCCTTTTAAACCATTTTCATGTGCACCTTTTATCTTCCATTAGATTGTAATTGCCTGTGGGTAAGGAGTAGACCTTCTCTTGGTTTCAGTCCCTCACAGTTTTCCCTTTCATTCGCTTATGTATTGATTCCAGTTCATTCATTACTCATGCGTTTATTCCAGACACTTTATTAAGTTGCTAGGCTGGTGAGTAAGACAGAGTTTTTGCTCTTGGGGAGATTATTATCTGTTAAATAGTTGGGGAAATAAAAGACATAGAAACATGTTGTGGAAGCAATAATAAAGATGTTCACAGAAAATTACGATAACATAGAAACATTTAATGCAGATTATATGGAGGGGGCAGAGGGGAGAGGTAGTTCAGGGAGGATTTTTGGAGCAGTTGACTTCTGGGTTGAAACGTAAGCAATAAAGTAGTGGTTACTAGGTCAATAGGAAGAAGGGTAGAAAATGGCGTTACTGACAGTGAAAACAGCCTGAGCATAGATAGACCCAGTCACAAGAAACAGTGAAGCGGTGTGGTGCTGCTGTAGCATAGAGCAAAAGGCAGAGTGGTGAGAGGCAAGGTTGAGTGACAGGCCAGCGCCCCTGGAGGGACCTGTAAGCCACATGGAAGCAGGGACCACATGCAGTGATCAGAACAGGGAGGACCTTGAAATGCTTGACAGAGAGTTTTATGGGTCAGATTTCAGTCTTAGGTGGCAGTTGGGAGGATGAATCTAAGGAGGATGAGACAGTTTGGTGGCCGGTCCAGGTGGGAGACATTAAGGACCTAAACCAGGACAGTATTATAGGAACGGAGAAGAGGAGGCAAAATCAAGCACTGTTTGTGATACCAGATCAGCAGGACCTGTTATTTTGAAGATGACCAAGAGGAAAGACCAAGGATGCTTCTTAGGTAGCTACCTCATACGCCTGGGCAGTTGATTGCACAGTCTACTTAGAGAACATAGGAAGAGAGAATATAATGAATTCATTTTTTGGTATTGTTATCTTCAATACATTGAGATTTTAAATGTGTCCATGATACGTTTGGAATTAAATCTAATTAATGATTAGCAGACACGTCTGGATAACTGGAAATGCATCACCTTCGATATTCACCTTAACCATATCTCTCTTGGAAGCAGGAGTGACTCCGCTTTTCCTACAACACCCTGTGCATACATCTGTCGTAACTCTTCCGCTGTGTTGGAATCCTTGACTTACTTTCCTATTCAGATGTGTGGCCCGCAGCCTAGTGTTTCGTTCATAACCTCACCATAAATGCGAGTGAGTGAATAAGGAAGTGAATAGATCATTTTAAAAATTATTGTATTTGATTATTAGGAAAAGTGCGTATGTGGCTTATTCTTGTTCTAACGCTTGTGTGTTTTAACTCCTAGCACCTTCCACTGGAAGAATCTCAAACAGTGCTGCTTCCTCAGGAGCAGTGGCACCAGCCAACTCAGCTCTGGGGCAATCCCAGCCAAGCGACCAGGACACTCTAGTGCAAAGAGCCGAGCACATTCCAGCAGGGAAACGAACTCCAATGTGTGCCCATTGTAATCAGGTCATCAGGTCGGTTATCTGTTTTTTGAAATTTTCTCGAAAGTCCTTAATACCATTGTTGTGATTTTTTTAGTATTCTGAAATATTTGAAATTTTATTAGTGAAAATATTCTTACCGTAATCCTATATAATACATATTATTGAGTAGATTAATATGAATTTATATGTGTTAAAGTCTATTTTAATGAAAAGTCATTCTGGGCTTTGCGAAAATAAAACTAAAAATGCTAATTGTGTCCATTATTAATTCCTATCAGAACTAAGGAAAAATAGTGATGATGTGGCCTTTCAGAGAATAATAAAATTTTAAGACTCAAAGGAGCCCTGAAGATCATTTATCCCAATTTTGTTATTTTAAAAATTATAGAAGCAAGAGCTTTAATTTAGATGAAAAATAACTAGTAACATGAAGTAAAGAACTCTGAGCCCTAGAGAAAAGAAGATTGGATTTTTGAATACCGAAGCACCAAGAGATAATTACCTTCAGATCTGTTCATAAACACTTTGAGTGTTAGATTGGGTGATAACTTGCTGCTTTAAAATATTTTTTGTCCAAATCTATTTCATTATCTCTTAAATTCCAAGAAAGAAAAAAGTCTCAGAGATCTTAAGAGTATACTATACTAGAACATATTAAATCTCTGAGTGTTTCTTAATAAGTAGCTTTTAAAATGTTATGAGGTGTAGGTATGAATGCTAATTGCAGAGATCCCACCAAAGGGACCTTGTTGCCTCTTTGTGAGTTGCCTCGTTGACAGTAACAAATGATTGTTTGAGATGATTTCTCAAGCTCTCTTTTTTTCCTAATTTATCTTATTTTGAAATAGTTGAAATAATGGCTTCTCTAAAGTTGAATATGGTTAAGACTTAATTGAATTTTCCCCTCTATTATATAATCATTGTTTAGCATAATATTTCTAGGTAATATTTTAAATGGAGCCAAGAAACCTCAATACTTCATTTAAGAACCAAATATAAATACTCCTCTTTAACCTCCTATTAATTAAATAATATATGTGTCAAGAACATTTGTTAAAAGTTGAATAGCTTTTTTATTTTAAAGGTAGTCAATGTTCATTGTGACATTCAAAAAAACATATGAAAACAGAAAGCAAAAACAAAGATCACACATCATCCCACCTCCCAAAATACTTGTTATTTTCGTTTAGACTTTTAAAACATTCACACATAAGGACAGATATCATTTTACAGAAATGGAATAATAATGTGGTGTTTTGTAAGCTATTTTTTTTTTTTGCTTAAATTGTATTTTTAGAGTGAGTACCTACCCTCTTAATAAGAATTAGCCAGAAGCAGTGGTAGTAGTAATAGTGATTATGGGGAGAAAGGGAAAAGCAGTAGAGGTTTGCAGAGTCTAGCATAGTATTCAGCACACAGAAGGCATTCAGTGAATGTTTAACTGAACAGATCATGCGTGACTCTAGACCCATTCATCATTCAGGCCATAACGTCAATGTGGCTAGAGTCATTTTCCTAAAAGTACTAGTACGGGGTGACTGTCTTACAGAAATATTTAAACTAATATAAAGTTGGTACTGCTTTATCCCAATAAATAAAATAATGTTTTGATTATTACGTGCATTTAGTTGTTATATTTTTAGATTTAATATTGATAAAATAAAAATAACCTGACTTGTAACATTGCTTCTATAAGTTATAGTAATCGGGTTACCTAGACTGATGTTTAGGGATACTATAATATATTCTGAATGAAAACACCATTTACGGAGACAGGAGTCACTGCTGTTATTTGTGTGCTATTGTAAGCAAGTAATTACCAGATGAGTTACAAAATGTCAAAACACATAAGTTGCAGGTTCGTGTTGTCTGATTATAAAATTCAATGATGTTCTATAATCACCGCTACTAGCACTTCTGAGAAACTTACTTAGTGTGGAGAAAATATGAAGATCAAAGTGAAAATTACATTCACCACCCTTAACTGCCATGGTTTCAAATTTAATGCTAGGCCAGGATGCAATTTTAATGGACAATCATCCTGCCATATAAAATAAATCTATATTATGCTAATAACGTGAGTGGCTATCACTTATTGCTCCCTCATCTATTAAATTTTATATTGGTCCGGATTATCCACTGTTTGTTATCAGTTAAACATTAAAGCTTCATTTACTAAGGAAGTTAATAGGAATGGGATTAGTCCATGTCAAGATCATATAACAGTAATTAACATAGCACATTTGCCTGGTGCTCAAGTGCTAAAGCAGCTTGAATAGATTGTGGTCAGTTCAGAGGCCTAGTCAAAGCATAATTCTAGTTCCTGGCTGCAGGGTCGGTATTACTTACCAAAGCAAAGAGGTATTAGATCAAGTGACATTCTTTTGGACACCTGTTTTAAAAACAACCTGCAGTTGCAGGCTCAATACTTTCAATACAGAATATTATACCTTGGCAAACTCTGAGAAGTTTAAGATTTATTTTATAATTTATATTGTTAGTTTTCTACCATATAATTCATATTGTTTGTTTATAATTCATAGTTTTGTTTTATATTTACTTTTTCAGTATTTCAGATTTTCAAAAATATTTTTTATGTAAGGGCAAACTAAAGTAAATTTCGCTTTACATTTTATTGGCTTTCTGGTGGTTTTTTTTCTGTTTGTTTTTTTGTTTTAGCAGAGTTGATTGTTTTTGGAAAACCTCAGAAACCTGAATGTTAATATTCAGCTGGTTATCTCTTCATAGAACACATTCAATTTAAAATTCCATAGTTAATTTTTTTTTTTTTTTTTTTTGAGACAGAGTCTCACTTTGTTGCCCTGGCTAGAGTGAGTGCCGTGGCATCAGCCTAGCTCACATCAACCTCAAACTCCTGGGCTAAAGCAATCCTTCTGCCTCAGCCTCCCAAGTAGCTGGGACTACAGGCATGCGCCACCATGCCCGGCTAATTTTTTCTCTATATATATATTTTTAGTTGTCCAGATCATTTCTTTGTATTTTTTTTGGTGGAGACGGGGTCTCGCTCCTGCTCAGGCTGGTCTCGAACTCCTGACCTTGAGTGATCCACCTGCCTCGGCCTCCCAGAGAGCGAGGATTACAGGCGTGAGCCACCACGCCCGGCCAAATATCCATAGTTAATTTTATTTGGATCTAATGTTTAAAATTTTTTGGTTTATTTGAATCATGTAAAGTTTATGGATATTTTGCCTAAATTGTATTATGGAGTCATTACTTTAACTAGTTACAAATGAATAGGTAGTTACATCTTAGAAAATTCTGAAGCTTTACGTTTGCTATGGAACATTTCTGGTCCAATTATTAATATGATAGAAGTACCATTTCTTCAACTCTTATACTCATGAGTAGATTGATTGTTGGAGTGGTAATATAATAGGGAATCAGAAAATTAGGCAGTTATAGCCAAAACCAGGTTTTAGTTTACCTGGTAGAATGGGCTTATAAATGAACGTCCCAGCTTATTTCGTTTTGTTTTTTTTTTTTCTTTCTCTTTTTTTTTGGGAGAGGGTCTCACTCTCTTGCCCAGGGTGGAGTGCAGTAATGTGATCAGAGCTCACTGCAGCCTCCAGCTCTTGGGCTCAAGCAATCCTTATGCCTCAGCCTCCCAAGTAGCTGGGACTGCAGGCATGCACCACCATGCCCAGCTAATTTTTTTTTTGTAGAGACTGGGCCTTCTTTCGTTGCCCGTGGTGGTCTTGAGCTCCTGGCTTTAAGCGATCTTCTTGCCCCGGCCTCCCAAAGTGCCGGGATTACAGGTGTGAGCCACCACGTCTGGCCGCTGGCCCCTAGCTTGAGCCCAGCTCACCTTCACCTCTGTCAAGTCTTTGCTCCAGTGTCAGAGTGTCCCTGCCACCTATTTAAATTCTCTTGCTTCCTCTCTACCCCCCACCTAAACAGTCTCCCTCTCTCCTCTCCAGGCTTTATTTTTTTCCTCCGCCCTTAATATCTAACACGCCATAGATTTTATTTGTTTATCTTACTTGTTGTCTCCCCCACATTAGGCTATAAGTTGCATGCAAGCAGAGCTTTTTTCAGCTTTGTTCCCTGCCACGTTTCCTATTCCCAGGACGGTGCCTGGCACATACTGAATTTAGCAAATTTTTGTTCAGTCAATGAATGAACTTTTTCAAAGTATTTGTAGGATGTATGTTAGAGTTGCCAAGTCGAAATTATATCCCACTTATTTGTCTTAATATAGAATCACATTTCTCTGGCTTTGCTGATTTTCTGATAATCTCAATATAAAGAATTGACTGTATGTAGACTTTTTAAAGATTGTCAATTAACATTACCTTCTTTAAAACTTGTTCTCTTTATTCACTATTATGTTTAAGCTCATTTTACCTGTGCATTTATTTTTGAGGATCCAGTCATTTTTGCCTTTAAGATATAAAGCTATAGTTGGCCTCACAACCCTTTAAATGCAGTATGTTAAAGGGTTACAAATTAAAGATACTCAATGAAAGTAGAATTATATTTTTAAATGTATCGGAAAGTTTAGGCATAATCTACTATAAATAAAGAATTAAGAGTAGAAAATAGGGTTTCCAAATTTTAGGAAGAATTGTTAAATAATTCTAATTTGGGGTCTCTTTCTTCTTGCATATGTCTTTGTGAAGGTGCGTATGTGCAAACTCTTCCAATTATCTAGTCCGTTTCGTTCTGTTTCTCTGGTTATATTGTTCTTGGGCTCTTTGCTCATGTCACGCCCTTCCTAGAAGTTGGGCAATATAAATATATAAAACTGGGCTGGGCAAAGTAACTCATGTCTATAATCCTAGCACTTTGGGAGGCCAAGGCAGGAGGATAGCTTGAGGCCAGGAGTTCAAGACCAGCCCGAGCAAGAGCGAGACCCTGTCTCTACAAAAAATAGAAAAATTAGCTAGTCATGGTGGCACATGCCTGTAGACCTGGGAGAGGCTGAGGCAGGAGGATCACTTGAGCCCAGGAGCTCTAGGTTGCAGTGAGCTATGATGACGCCACTGTAGTCTAGCCTGCATGACAGAGTGAGACCCTGGCTGTAAATAAATAAATAGATAGATAGTATTATTATATCTAATTAAGTGTAATATCAGATTCCATTTTTATTCTTGAGCACATGAGTCTTTTGTTACGGCTTTGAAGGCTTTTGTTTTTAACTTCTTTTGATGCAGTAACTTTTGGTCAAATAAAGATTTTGATCTGCAGTGCTTGGGCTCTGGAAGATTCCCACTTTACAATTCATCATCCACAGGATCTTTGGAAAGTTGGCCAGTTTCTCTGATGTTTCCTTCATCTACCAATATATGACAGAGTTAACTTCTGTCACTGAGGTGGTTGTGAAAATTAGATAACAAAGGGAAGCGAGAAGTAAGCGTTTAATTTTGAAGCTAAATTCCTGTTAGGTTGTGCCTGTTGACATCTGCAGTTCCTTTTACCTTTATATTTGTGAGCTTTTCTTTTTCTCTGAACTCTTCTTTGGCATCCTTCCCTACCTTTCCTTCCATTTTTTTTTTTTTTTTTTTTTTCCTTTTTGGCATGAGATAAACAGGATAAAAAATTTCATGCCAGATCTCTTCTCTTCAGCCAGTCGAATGCTTTAACTCGCCCCCACCCGTTCGTCAGTCAGCATGTGTTTAGTAAGGGCCCATGGGACAAGGAGTACTCCGAGAGGTGGCCGAATACCTAATTCCACTTCGCAGCTATCCAAGCCTGTCATTCCGGTTCACGAAGGGAAACCCAATCCTACCTGGAACAAGAACTTCTTCAGTGTTAATCCTGTGTTAATGAATTTGTTAAATTAGTCTTTGCTGACACAGAGAAGAGAATGCTTTGTTTTATGTAAGGTATCTTATTGTTTAATCTATACATGATTTTAAGGACATTGATGGGGAAAGATGCTCTTTCAGTGCAGCCCAGGAGTATCAGGTTAGGCCAGTATTTGCCCTGAGTGCTTATTTATGACCCTGAGCAAGGGTCATTTTCAACTTGTTTTTTAAAGGCACAGAGGGAATTTCTTTACTGTCTAAATTTCCTTTTTGTATTCACATTTTAAAGGAACTGATGAAATATTTTAAAGTTATTCTCTTAATGGACTATAGTTTTAATTAATTCATATATGGTAAACTTTATCTCAGAAAGTTTTTCAAAAGACTTTTAAGCATACCAAAATATAAGATAATCTTCCAAATTACCAAAAATGGCAAAAGAATGAAATTCATGGACGGGACCATTAAAAATGTAGCTAGCATCGAGACTGGACACTACCTACAATAATGACCTGCCTGCTTGCCTAAAGTTAGACTATGAATTTGACTTTAAGCCTTCTAGCAGTCCACCAAAAAAGAAAGTTAGTTTTGCAATTTACAATAAGAAAAAAAATAAAACTGTTCCTCAGGAGAAGCAAAACTGTTCTTGTTAGAAAAATCTGGTAGGGATTTTTCTGAGGAGTCCATGTGAAGATGACCCTGAGTGATCTCACAAACAGCACTCTAGCAGCAACTTTCAGGAGGAGCAAGCCTGAATTTCATACGCCTGTTTCCTATAACAACTGTCAGTACTGACTGATGTATCACACCAAGCACTGCTGATGAAAGTAATCATTCTCTGGGGTGACACAGACCCAATGTGCTATAATGCATAGGACCCAGTTCTCTGCCAATCTGACTTGATCTCAACATATATTTTAGAAAATCTGGAAAATGCATTGCATGTTCCTTAGTTATTCTTGAATGTCTTCTTTTCACAGATGAATTTTGGTAAGTATTAGGTAGCACTGATAGACATGTTCTGGGAGCAGAGTTTTTCTTTTTATTCCACGTGCACACACCAACACTTACGCTTTCACCGGATGTAGAGTTTGAGGTTGGATTGACTTCCTTTGAAAATCGGGGAACCAAATAAGGATATTGGCCTCAAGGGTGCATCCAGCCTTATGGATGAGCTGATGATGTGGCCAAATAAATAAATCAACTCTAGTAAATTGTTTTTAATCTGTTTTAATGCCCAGACAAATAGCAGCATAAAATTCCCAAGTTCTACCACAGCCTATGTTAGGCAGGGTCACGGTAAATTTCACGCATACATAACCAGATAACTACGTGGTGGAAAAGCTCAGAACACTTGGAAAACTTTGTCTAGCTTTAAGTAGTGTGACTCCTGGTTTATCTTTGAAGATAAACTATTTGCCAAATAAATACTGAGAGAATTAAATGAAGGAACTTTTTGGAGTAGGATTGTTATTTTATGAATCAGTTAAAAATTGAGGGACAACCTACAAAAAGTAATATATTTGATTGAAGAATAGGTGATCTGTAGCTTTTTCTTTTCTGGCAGGAATTGGTTACCAAAGACATTTCTTGGTAGTCATAACAAAACTATAGTACCCTAGAGTTTAAACAAAAATAATAATAAACTACTCATCTCAAACTTGAGAGCTGTATACGCTAGCTTATACACAATGGCATCATATTAATAAGAAACAAGTTAACAAAAAAGTGGGGCTAGAAAATACTGTTATATCCCACATAATCGATTTTAATCACTCATCAAGAGCCTTTCTCCTTTCCTACTCTTGCAGAGTTGGGTGCTGGTTGTGAGTAAACATCAATATGTTTGCAAAGAATTTACCAGTGGGAGATAGTTTTTGAATAGCAAGGTTTATGTTATTGTCAAAGGTTAAAAAATGCTGTGACTTTGTGATACTCAATGCTGTGACTTTTCCTATTAATGATCTGCCTAGAAGCCTGGTGTCCGCTGCTTCCTAACAATTACCCTGTGGTCAGTCGCTGATGATAATTGATGGTAATGAGATCACAGGCAGAACGTCAGTTGAACAGAGCAGTATACTAGAAATCAGGAAATTTAGCTTCTGGCCTTGCCTCAGTGATTTTATATTTGCCGTATCTTTTTGAACGTTCTATATCTCAGCTTCTCCATCTGCGAAACTGAATTTGTAATACCTGCCCTGGTCTATCTCCCAGGAATGTCGTGTGGACAAATTAGATAAGTGTAAAAGTGCCTTGGAGGTAAAGTCACTCTATGAATAAGAATTAGTGTGCTGCATCTCCTGCAAAGTGTGTTGCAGAGGCTGGAATGGTTAGTCTCTGCGGGCTTCGTGACTCGATAAGGCTTCATAATGGATTCCTGCCAAGCAAACCAAGCCCATCTTATCAGTTCGTGACTGTGTAATATGTGTTGGGAAAAAAAATCTCCTTACAAACATTTGTTACCTTGATACAAATGTGCATTAAAAAGCTGTCATGTTTGGGGATGGGGAAGGGGGACGTTGCAAAACAATGGGTGTAAAATTTCAGTTATGCAAGATGAATAAGTTCTGGAGATCTCTATTGTACAACATTGTGCCTGTAGTTAACAATAACATTGTGCACTTAGAAATCTGTTAAGGTCTCATTTTACGTGTTCTTACACAATAAAATAAATTTTTTAAAAAAATGGGCCGTATTTGAATTAAATAAAACCTTTTCAAGTAGTTTTAAACAATCATTATATAATGCCCAGTTTACGATTTGTGTGGTTATTTTAGCGGGTGAGGATTTGACATGTTTAATAAAGTTGAGAAATAAGTATGTGAAACAATGTGTGGGGAGAAGAAATTGACTAGAGTATTTTCTCAGGTAATAATTATTACTATTTTTAAGATTTTTGACTTACCAAATTGAAGATTTTTTTTTTGTTTATTTTCTAGAAATGTCAAATTCTCATCTCTGCCTATGGCCACATATTTTTTCTAGTTGCTTCGTGTTCTGTCACAGCGACTTTCTGTCGCAGTTAACATCCCCATCCTCAATCCTAATCGTGATGCAGACGGATTGACTCATTGCCACTCAGTGAAACAGACCACCAATTCCCTGAAGACAGAAAACGGTGGAGTGGTGGCCTTTCTTGAAGGGATTCCTTCCTTTCTCCTGTCCCCTTTTCTCTTCACATAAATGCACAGTTCCTGTGTGAATTCACAGCACCCGTGTCCTCAGTCCTTGCAAAGGAGAACCGAGCAAGTACTGAATTGTTTGGACATTGCATCAAAGCGGTCCCATCCAGGCTAACTTTAGAAACTTTTAGTCTTGAGCTAAGTTGATCTCTTTCTCTCCTGGCAGGGGACCATTCTTAGTGGCACTGGGGAAATCTTGGCACCCAGAAGAATTTAACTGCGCTCACTGCAAAAATACAATGGCCTACATTGGATTTGTAGAAGAGAAGGGAGCCCTGTATTGTGAGCTGTGCTATGAGAAATTCTTTGCTCCCGAATGTGGTCGATGCCAAAGGAAGATCCTTGGAGTAAGTGTTGGAAATGTTTTTATTCTTGGCGAGTTTCAAAGCAGAATGATCTTTTGTTACGAAACTCTTCTCTCATTTTAACTTTTTATTTTCTTCTTGCTTTGTCCCCTCTCCGTTTTCATCACTATTTATTATTGTAAAGCAAAACTAAATAGACCTCTGCAGAAGGATATCGGACTCATGGGGTTAGGTTGTCTTTGGTTTTGTCTCCCTGAGTGCTGGCCTGTCTGGGGAAAGTCTAGCCACTGTGGGGGAAAAATAACTTGCTGCGGGTGTGCTACCTCCACAGGCCCCTGTTTGCTCAGGAATGAAGAGGTCGCACAGGACCACACACATCCGAGTTCTCAGAACTGACACCTTCGCTGTTTTAAATTAAATTCCATGGCTTTTATAAGAGCAGCATTTCCCCACTTGTCAGGGTTCAAGTGCGGGACACTGATTTCATGAAATATATAAAACCTGAGCCTTATAAATGATATATTTTTCTTGAATGCATATAAAGTTTAAAAATATAACCTCAGTTTTATGAGAGCACACATGTGATGGAAAAATAATTTCAAATCATACCTTTTCTTTTTTCTTTTCTTTCTTTTTTATTTTTTTTCCCAAAAAGGGAGTAATTTAGGAATTAGACAGTACATAATAAATAATGATGAATAAACAAATTTCGTGCTCCAGAACAACTAGTTTGCAATTATAAAGTAAGGATCAGGCTTTTCTTATGGGTAACCAGGAGCTGGAATTTGATTTTAGAAGAAGCCAAGGTGCCTGGCCTTATACAAAAGTTGGAAATGGCCCTGCTGAATTCTAATACTCTCAATATGAAAATATAGTAATGAAACCGTAATTGATACTAATCGAGAGAAAAGTTAGTATAAATTATGAAGTAGTCTTAATTTTAGGGCATACCTTTAAATGAGTCTAAAACTTTGA